GAGGGATCAACCAAATAATTCTTACCTCCCATTCCCCCCTTTCTTATCCCACCCCTGTGCACCACTGAAACACACACGCGCCCTGCTTTACAGTGTGATTAAACGGAATAATATTGTAAAACAAGCCTTTCCTGCTATTTCGCAGATGACGAAGAAATTTTCCATCAGCGTGTTGGACGTCAACGAGGCCCCAGTCACCATCGTCCTCTCCTCGAGTGACGTAAAGGAAAATTCGAAGCCTGGAACTCTTGTTGGAACTTTAATGGCTGCAGACAATGATACTGCACAAAACTTAACCTTTAAACTAGATGATGACGCAGGAGGAAAATTTTCCCTGCAATCCAACTCTTCTTGCCAGAGTATTAGTCCCACTGGAACTCTCTGCACAACAGAATTACTTGTCAGCGGCGATATTAATAACGAAGATACCTCAAGGCTGGACATAATCGTTCGCGTGACCGATAACAAAGGTCTTTTTCGCACAGAGATGTTTAACGTGACAGTAATTGATGTGAATGATCCGCCAACAAATGTCACGCTAGATGGAAGTGGATCTGCTTTAATTCCTGAGAACAGCAAAGGTGTTCAAGTGGACAGTCTTATAACAGAAGACGAGGATCAGGGTCAAAACTTCACTTATGTCTTGATTAACAACCCAGGGGAAAATTTCGAAATAAAAGGGGACAAGCTGTTTACTTCTAAAAGTGCCAAACTTGATTATGAATCGTCTACAAGTCATCAAATCACAGTGAAATCGACTGATGACGGTAATCCACCTCTTTCTGTGCAGGTGTCGTTAGTTATTAACCTCCAAGACGTTAACGAAAAGCCAACCAAAGTAACCTTGTCCAACATAAGCGTTCAGGAAAATATACCATCTGGAACGCTGATTGGTAAGTTGACAGTCAGCGACCCTGACAGACAGCAAAGTCACGTGTGCAGTTTGACCGATTCAGCCAATGGGAAGATAGCGTTAAGTAAGAACCAACTGACCGTTGGGAGCGCAGGCATCAATTACGAAGATGCGAATTCGTTGAGCGTTAAAGTCCTGTGTCGTGATCCCGGTGGCCTTGCTGTGGAGGATACGTTTGTGATTCTTGTTCGAGACGTCAACGAGGCTCCGGCAAGTATTTCACTATCAAACGACAAGGTTCAAGAAAACCATAAAGGAGGTACCGTAGTCGCACAGATCATAGTCACGGATCCGGATAATGAGAGAAACCGGGTTCAATCGTTTACGCTCTCAATCTCTTCCTCCGGCCCAAATCTACCATTTCAGATCCAAAATAACAGCCTTGTTACCAAACGCCCACTTGATTATGAGAACAGCGATCACTGGCTTGTGAGAGTGTCTGCAAAGGATGACGGGATACCTCCGCTTTCCAGAACTCAGGCATTTACGATCCAAGTCATTGACGTAAATGATGCTCCAGATGGAATGGTGGTAAGATATTTTCTTGATACATCATTTTGTTTTTATCCAAACAAGTTATGAACCCATTATTCAGCGGTCAACCTCCACTGAGCGGCCATTCGCTGTTAACCCGAGGGTGGCCACTCAATGGAACTTCAACTGTGTTAGCAAATAGAAAGAAACCTTAATTATGGAGATGGGTTGTTGGGAAAGAAAGTCAAACTTTCAGCCAACTCAACATTGGCGATTGTTATATGAGGGAAAACTTGACCCCTTTGCCCGATGTAAGGACGAGACAACAGCGCTCGCGCATGTTCTGATTGTCTAACCTTGACTGAGCTGAACGGGCTGGGCGAGTCAGTGTGTTTATATGGAGAAAGAGGAGAGTGACCCTGGTACCACCGAAAAAGGGTAACTCTTTTTGGTGGGTCACCTTTCTAGCCGAGCCAATTTTTTGTTTCTAATGTCCACGGCTCGCCAAGTTTTGTAAGGAAATGCGGGAGAAGTTGTAGCCATTGCATTTTTCCAATCTCCCGCAAGTAGATATCAAGGTCCTGGTCCAGAGGGGCTGCTTACGTGGGCGGTAATTACTAACAGGGATCTTCTCTCTTTGTGTTGATTTAGCTTTCAAGTTCTGATGTAAATGAAAACAGCGATGAGAACACTTTGGTTGGTTCATTATCCGCAGTGGATCAAGACACTTCACAGAATCATACTTTCCAACTGATAAACAGCGCTTCGAGAAGGTTTAAAGTTGATGGAAATGAAATTAAGGTAAACGGCTTTCTCAAGGCTGAAATTAAAAATATTATGCTGTATTCCAAAACGTAGAAGCTACTCTTAACATTAAACACAAGACGACCTATATAACTCTCAAGGAAATTAAGGCATGTGTGCTTTTGCAATTTCCCTCAAAAAGTCGAGGGGTGGTCTATATTTCGAGGATTAAGGCCTCTAGGGACAAAACTTGAATAAAATAACAACTCTCAAAAGTTTATGCGATTCAGAGTAAAATTTTAGTGATTAGGGTAAAGAAACTGAGTGAATCAAGTTTCAGGTTAGTGTTCCCAGTATAAAGTCGACTCCCGATAACTCGAACCTTCAAGGGAATTCCAAAAAGCTTGAGTCATCGATGAGTTCGAGTTATCGGGAGTTTGAAGCAAATAGCTGGAAGTAAGAAAAAAAAACAACAGTTTTTACTGTACAGTGACAAGAGAGGATAAAGGGGACAGAGAAGGCATCCGTCATACACGCCCTATTCCATAGGTAATTCGTCTCGAGTTATTTTTAGAATCGGGATAAAGTTACCTCGCGCGCTGCGTGGATGTTCCGTGGAGGTTTCGCATGACTAAACGCCGTGCAAAACATGTCGAGCGAAAGGCAGTGAAAGCGTAAAGAGATCGAGAGCATTCCTGAATATTGAAGCGAAATGAGTCGGCGCTCACCTGGGAAAAGGGAATCGCTGGACTCGTGAAACCCGTGAAATCAGTTTAACTCGAAGTTGTCGTAACCTCAGTGCTTTAATAAAATGAGAAATTTCGCCGGTCTATTGGAACCGGTCGTTTGTACAATAAAGCAAGTAGGACGCCAAGTGTTATTGTTGTTGAATAATAAAAGACTAATAAAAGAATAAATATGAAACCAGAAATTGCTCTCTTCAAACTGTAAATTATAAATGATCCTGAGAGAATATTCAGTGTGTTAAGGATTTCCCTCCTCTACTGTTAGCTCTATACAAGAGAGGAAGGGCGATTCTTTTTTGATTTTCGTTTCGCTGACACAGCTTTAGCAGAAATCTCTCTGTAGTCATTTTCGTCGACAAAAAGAATAGCAATATCGCTCTCCGCGTCTTCCGCCATTTTGTTCTGCGTCAATTCGTGAGGGACGCGTGCCACTGAGCGTGGGTCATCCACGCGGAACACATTCGCGCTATGTGATTGGCTGTTGTCTAATCCCCCTTGAGATCTGTGATGTTAAAAATAACTCGAGACGAATTACCTGTGGAACAGGGTGTGTATGGGGATGCCTTCTCTGTCCCCTTTATCCTCTCTTGACAGTGAATATTTTACTCACAGTTATTTGTAGAAATGTTGAGTGAAAATGGGGCGATACTTCAAGATTATAAATCAGAACGTAACGTAACAAAAAGCCTAAATAGTGAATGCTTTTTACTGTTTCGAGAAGTAAAGCTGTTTCACCGTTAGATTCGTAACGAACAACATCATCCTCCTCTAGCAAACTATGTGCTAATAGCACATCAATGGGAAATTCAAAATTAAGTCCTCAAAACATTCTGTTTTTTATTACTCAGGTGGCTATTTCCAACAAACAATGCTTGAGTCAAGGAGGTTCGTCATGTCTCCTGAATTACGAGAAGAAAAGGAGCCACATTATCAGAGTTAAGACTACGGACGATGGTAGCCCACAACTGTCCTACGAAGAAAACTTTAGAATTGACGTGCGAGATATCAATGACATGCCACGTGACTTGCAGCTCTCCAATAACCAAGTAAAGGAGAATGTGAAGATAAATACCTTGATTGGAAGGTGTGTCACGTGAATTATTGTTTTATTCAAAATATTTCGGATTATGGTTGTAGAAATCAAATATGAAATTTTGCTCCTAGTTTATAGATCATGATAACAACCAAGTTTTTGAATTCCAGTTATTGTGACCTCCGCCCAGTTAGCTCATTTAGAAGAACGCGGGCCTCCTCAGCGGATGGTCGAGGGTTTTATCAAGGTATCTAGCAGATCATGCTGGCTGTGAATAAGACCTTGCCTCAGTTCAGATGATTAGTCATTGGCAATGTTGTCACACGGTTGGCCTTAACTCCTTCATCCTTTCTTATTGGTGCGACTTTTTTGTTGGAGGAAGACACAGACAATAGAGATCTTTGGTCACTCTATTACGTTTAGCGAAAATGTCGTAGTGACGGAAACAAGTTATCAAATGTTACAAGAGTTATAATCATACGATCGGGAGAAGGCTTAACCTCCTTCAATTAAGATAACCGTGTCAACATTTCTGGTGGAAAAAAGAAAAATGGAGTTTTTGGGGTATCTAGCTTTAAGCCAAATCTCGTCTTCGAATCTAAAGGTCTCTAATGGTGAGAGAGTTGGGGTAGTAGACCCTGGTATGGTGATCTATCTTTGCCACTTAGGTTGGGAGAAGACTGCTACAGGCGCGTACCAATTCGTCTCATACTATTGCGGTCACCATGCCAACAATTAACAAAGCAAACAGAACAGATATGAACAATTAGAGCAACCAAATCCTATCCAGTTGCCCTGTTTATGGAACTTCAAATTCCAGTTGTAAAAAAACCTAGCAATGCATGAAGCTTCTATTTACGATTAAATCACTTGATATTTTTTGTTCCTTGTGACTAGGCTTACATCACGTGACGAAGACGCTAGCCAATCAGCAACATACTCACTGACCAATGATGACAGTGGGCGCTTCAAGGTTGACTCTCAGGGGAGACTGTACACAGCGAAGAATATCAATCATGAAACCCAGAAGAGACATGTCATCAGAGCAATGGTAACGGATAATGGAAACCCGCCTATGAAAGTGAGTCTTCCAGTAATAGCTATTATCATTTTTGATTGGTGTCAAGGTCATTATGTCATTGAAGAAAACTGGCTACGGATAATAATCTGCTCATGCACATTAGAGAAAAGAGTTTTGATGCTGACAGTGCGTTGCGCATTGGTATTTTTTTTTTCGCAGCCTCGTTCCAAGGATCTATGGGAACAAGGTTGTGTAAAATCATTGAACTCAGTTCTCATATAAAATCATTTTTTTAATTGACTGCTGTCTTTATTAAAAAGAATGGGGAAATTTCTGAAAAGACACCCTCAAAGAGGAGTGTCGCCTTTCAAAATAGAACATTATATACCTGTGTACCTCGAGATCGACCATCTTCTTCAAATTTTCAAGTTGTTATCAAGCAAAGTAAAGGTCTGACTAACATCTCTCATCTAACCAAAAAAATTACTGACTGAAAAGAGTGACTGATTTACAAATAACAAATCAGTTTTAACCGAAAGTGAAAGATTGTCTTTTGAAAGCCTTTGGCGTTCTTTTGCTAGTCAGATGCAGTCAACCGAGACACTCAGTTTAACGGGAGGTAATTTTACGAATATCAAGCACTGAATGGCTCATTTATCTGAAAAAGTGTGTACTCCTATGCTGGCTCCTTGCGGGATTCCATCCAAAGCGAGAAATTTTCCTTCGCATGTAATTTTTCACTTAATGGGGACATTTTAGATGGTCACAACTCAAAGAAAATTTGTTTCATTTTCCACAATTTCGGAGAAAAGTTAGTTTCATACTAAGTAGGTTCACTGTACCTCCGGGTGAACGTAGTCCTGAATAGGACTGTTGTTGTTGACAGTGACTGACGTTTCGACAACCTGTGCGATAGTCACCTTCAGAGTCAGAGTGAGTTTTTTCACTACGTCAGTTGATGGTATTAAACTCTGGTTATTGACCTGATTTGATGGCGCTTGTTTTTGATCAAATCGTTACTATGCAAGCCCCACTTTTTTTACATCTATGCCGGTGGGAAATTTAAATTGGGCGCACGAGCGAACTGTCAGTCCATCGCCAATATCCCAGGGGAGAATGCAAAGTGTACAACAGATCTTCTGTTAAATGGTTCCCTAGATTATGAGGCTTCCGCTGAGTACTCTCTGATGATGCGCTTGACGGACAACCAAGTTACTTTTACGACGCAGCAATTAAAGATACGTTCGTAGATCAAAATGATGCTCCTGAAAATGTAACACTGCGTGGAAGTAACGCTGTGTCTGTTAATGAAAACGCCAACTGTGCTTTTGTTGGAGAACTGATGACTAGTGACCAAGATGTCGGCCAATCGCATACTTACAAGCTGTCGAACAGTACTGGGGTTAAATTTATGATCTTAAACAACAAGCTGTACGTCTCATCTTCAGCTTATTTGGATTATGAAGCTCAAAGTCTGTTCACGGTTAGGATTCAGTCTGAAGACAATGGTAGGCTCCCTCTTTGTTTGGCAAAAGATTTCAAGATCACTATCATCGACGTCAACAAAGCTCCAGTGAACATCACCCTTTCGCCTGTGAACATAGCCGAAAACAGCGCACCTGGAACAGTGGAACAGCTTAATGTCACCGATTCGGATAACTACGGTTCACGTGGCGCTTGGCAATCGCACAGCTGTCAAGTTATTGGAAATCAGGTCGGGAAATTTACAGTTCAAACCAATTCGCTGGTAGTGGGTAACGCCAATTTAGATTACGAAGAGGCTTCATTGATGCTTGTGCAAGTAAGATGCTCCGATAGCTGGGGACAAAAAATAAGTTCAAATGGTGTGAAGATCTTTCCAATACCTTTGCATCTATGTGAATAAACGAGATTAAAAACGAGATAAAAAAAAAGGCTTAACCGAGGGGTCTGGGATTAAATAGAGCCATTAGAGACCTTTAGCATCAGGTAAACCACAAACCGCAGACCGCAAACCGCAGTTACGCGTTTGCAGTTTCGCGTTGCCGAGATTTCAAACTTTAGCAAGGCGTTCAGTTCAGTTCAGTTCATTTTTATTTAGCCAAAATACAATACAATACAAGAATACATATAGGAATTGTAAGGTTGCAAGGGAGCCCAGAAGAAACCAGAAGGCTTTATGAAGCCTGGGCTCCCCAGTCTGAAAGAGATAAGCAAAATAAAATGATATTCGCGATACGTTAAAAATAGGAACCAAACAGAGACTGAGTTAAGTTATGAATTCAGAAACAAGATAGAAAAAAAAATTAACTCTGGATTGGAACAGAATACTTTCCTTTGTTATCAGGGCAGAAAGGAATATAAAATTGATTTGAACTACGCGTTCATTGTATAGGACCGCCATGTTGTTTTCATCAAGTCCAAGTGCATCACTTTAATCGCCCAAAACTCAGCAATAATTCATTGATTCGAGATAAAAATCCAACAAACACATCGCAAACGGATACAAAAAGCTAGTTCATACCTTTAAACGCGAGGCTGTACAATTTTTTGTGGCAAAAAACCTTGCCGTAAATCACTTACCGCTGGAAGCCCTTCCTGCGGTTCAAACGTGAACTGCAAACTGCAAACGTGACCGCAAGGCCGTGGTCACGTGACATTTTGCGGTTTGCGGTTTGCCGTTTCCCACGAAAAACCTGATGCTAAAGGTCCCTACTAACCACAAAACACTGTTAGCACCTCATTATTTTTCTCAAAAATTTGGCATTTACTTCAGAAGAGTCTTACAGGGTTTACGGTCAAGTTGATAGATATTGATATATCCACAGTTTTGAGTGTGCACGCCCCAATGTTGCTGGTCGAAGGAAACAACATCGATCAAGATGAGACCGCACGCTTAAAGCGCGGAATTCCACTGTCATTTAATTCAGTTGACACTCAGTAGGTTCCACTCTTTTAGTTTCCAATTTATAAACAATGTGTTGGATTTCTTGTAACGCTGTTTAACATTTTAGGACATCATAAGTACATGATTCTTAAAAGTACGTAATTTACTCCGTCATTCCTCGATATCATTCCTAAATGGTAGTGTTTTTCCGAATACTTCTTTTTATGTGTTTCAATTTTCCCAACCAAATGACAAACAGACAGACATTTACTTATACACTCATGGGGAACACCACTGGTCTTCCATTTCTAATCGATGATGACGAGTTGAATTCCACGAGAAGTTTGGATTTTGAAGTCCAGTCCTCCTGGAACGTCACGGTCAGATCAACTGACAGCAGCAGCCCGGCACTCAGTTTAATAAATACTACTTTCCAGATATCCGTTGTTGGTAAATTAAAGGATGCAGTGGTGCTTGACTGCTTCGCGGTTAGCGGATAACTCCTTCGAAGCTTTGACTAAAGCTGTGTCAAGATAAGTCTGTGAAAGCTCTATGGTAAGGGCAAAATGATTTACAGAAGTCATACAACCTGCCCTTGGAATATTAAAGCACTGAAACACCGCTGAAAGGTTAATTTATGCAAAGAAGCCACTTGCAAAAAATGTAGGACTCAGCACTCTTGAAGAAGGGAAGGTGTTCATGCACAGGGAAAATAAAGATAAATAGTTTGAGAAAGAGGGACATGAATACAATTCTGAGCTTTCACCTAGTGTTTGAACAAAATATCTGCGAGTAAACATGTCAATCAAAGTTGGTTTGCATTTTTATTACGTTTTATTGACCCTCATTGACAAAATGCGGAAAAAGCTACAGGTATACAGCTAGGATTTCCACAGTTTGACAATCCCTTACTGTCGCTTTAAGGCTAGACAGCGGTGTAATTAGACTTGCCTACAATTCGAGCTCAATTTTTTTACGAGCGCGAAGCGCGAGCGGTAGATTTTTTATGTTTTCTGCGACGAAAAGCGAGCGACAGAGCGGGAGCTCGTCCTTCGAGCTGGGGCAAACTACCGGAACCGGAAATGAGAAGCGAAGGACTTTGAGAAAGTCTACGGTGTGATAGGCTCGATTACCAGCCGCTGGTCGGGAAATGAGGTCACGCTTTAAAGAATAACTTTTATTCAGCAAAATAACGTTGGGAATGACTACACAGGCCTTTCTGCATTAGTCCAGTTTCGAATTCTTCGTGGCCGCTGTATTAAAGCGCCAAAGACTCATTCGTACGGGGTTAGCCTCGAACTTGAGTAAAATATTCACAAATACCAGCTAGAAGGTGCCTCAATTTGAGTTTAAAACAACAGACATAGTTGTACACGGGTCTTCTTCTGACTCAATTTGTGATTATATTTACCTTAAGTCGAGGCTAACCCTTTGAGCCAAACAGTGCCAAACAGTGCTTGGTATTCGTGAATTTCGCGAGAACTTCATCTCGGTTGACTGCATACACACGAGGAACGACAATAATAAAAATCAGCTTCTACTTTCGATAAAAAAACGTAAACTTTTTTGTTATTATTCACAAACGGCTCTTTCTCATCCCTTTTCTTAAATGAAAGACCAATGCAAGGCATACTTCATTTGCATTGTTCCTATTTTTCTTTGCTACACTGATCATAATCATCACTGGATCTTTAAACTTGGTTTGATCCAAAAGTCCCTATCTGAAGAAAATATTTCATCTCGAGGTATATATATGATATCTGCTAGTAATAACTGATTTAAAAATTCCAATGGCATCCAGGGTATCCTCTAAAAATCAAAATACTTGCAAATGATTGCTCTTTCAGTTAGTTTTGATAAAAGTTTAAAATTTCTGCTTTTGATATCCTTCGGAAAACAAGCATTCTTCGTGCAAAGACCGAGAAAAAGGTGATCCAAACGCTTTTATTCAAGAGTTATATACGAAACTTTCCGTTGAGTCGCTAACCTTCAAACAAACTGAGGAAAATCAAAGCAAAGGAAAGTTTTTAGAGAGGTCAGCTTGTGTCGAAAAAATTACTTATGTGAATTAACTCTTTTCTGTAACTCATGAACCCGGTGAAATTTAATATAACTTTTGGGATAAACTATTTTGGGGGATGTATGTTTGTGTCTGAGAGTAGGGGGGCTGTGGTAGGGTAGAAGCAGGTTACACTCAAGCCACTTAATTCCCCTGGCGGTTCATGACCATAATCACTGATATCTATACCCACTCTTGTTTTGTGTGGTTATTCTTCTTCCGCTGTATATTTCCTAGAGGTGCTTTAACATATTTTTACATTGCTCGTCTATTTTAGATGGAAAAATCCTTCACGATCGAAGTTTTGGATGTTAACGAGGCTCCAATCAGCATCAACATCACTTCCCAAGGAGGTCAGCTGTCTTTCCCCGATGGACATGCTCAGATTCGTGAGAACTCCGCTTCCGGAACGAAGATCGGAACACTGGAGGCTTTTGATTACGACGCAGGGCAAAATTTGACTTTCAATCTCGACGATGATGCCGGTGGGAAATTTAAATTAGCATCACGTGCGAACTGTCAGTCCATCACCAACAACCCAGGGGTGAATACAAAGTGTACAACAGATCTTCTGTTAAATGGTTCTCTAGATTATGAGGTTTCCACTGAGTACTCGTTGATGGTGCGCGTGACGGATAACAACGGCACTTTCATGATTCAGCGATTAAAGATCACAGTCGTAGATCAAAATGATGCTCCTGAAAATGTCACGCTCGGTGGAAGTAACGCTGCGTCTGTTAATGAAAACGCCAACGGTCATTTTGTTGGACTATTGGTGACTAGTGACCAAGACGTTAACCAAACGCATACTTACAAGCTTTTGGACAGTGCTGGGGGTGAATTTGTGATCTTAAACAACAAGCTGTACGTCTCATCTTCGGCTAATTTGGATTATGAAGCTCAAAGTCAGTTCACGGTTAGGATTCAAGCTGAAGACAATGGTAGTCCCCCTCTTAGTTTGGTTAAAAATTTCACGATCACCGTCATCGACGTCAACGAAGCTCCAGTGAACATAACCATTTCGCCAGCGAACATAGCTGAAAACAGCGCACCTGGAACAGTGTTTGGTCAGCTTAATGTCACCGATCCGGATAACTATGGATCGCGTGGCGCATGGCAATCCCACAAGTGCCAAGTTATTGGAAATCAGGTCGGGAAATTTACAGTTCAAACCAATTCGCTGGTAGTGGGTAACGCCAATTTAGATTACGAGCATGCTGCATTAATACTTGTGCAAGTAAGATGCTCCGATAGCGTCTCTCCGCCATTGTCACTGGCGAAAGTTCTATCCATTACAGTTGATGACGTCAATGAGGCTCCCACTGGAATATCATTGTCAAGTGACGCCATAGCGGAGAATCAGTCTCCAATGTTGATAGGTAGGAATGATAATTTAAGTTAAAAAGATGTAATGACTGAATGATAATTGCTGTTTTCCATAAGTAAACGTCTTGCCTTCTTTGTGATTCGACTTCTTAACTATCACAGATCTCCACCGCGGTCAAACGTCAAGGGCGTTTGTTTTGTTTGTTGGGATTTCTTTCATCAGGAAGTGTAAACATGGGCAAATATGTATAAATTCATTCGTTTTCGTAACTATCTTTACATAGTTCTCAAGAATTTTAGCTTTTTTTCGTGGAAAACGCTTCGCGCCCCGAGTAAAATCATGCTGGATGATGGATGAAAACACCAGCTTCTGTTTTCAAACATTTAGAACTTTTTAATTAAACTTTAAAAAGGTTTAGTAAACTAACAGGTTGTTGGTATTGTCTTTAAAACTATGAATCACAGATCGTTCTAGGACATCACCACGTGACCTATTTCGCTATTTCTATTTCCTGTTGCTGGCCGTTATCATAGAAGGACATCACAAATGTACTATATTTAATGTACTTTGTAACGTTCTTCTTATTAGTTATTTTTATCGCCCATGTTCAGGCTTGTTCTCAACCGCTGATCCCGATAACGCCAACCAAGTGACAAACAGACAGACATTTACTTATACCCTAATGGGAAACACCGCTGGTCTACCTTTTATAATCGATGGTGACGCATTGAATTCGACAAGAAGTTTGGATTTTGAGGCCCAGTCCTCTTGGAACATCACGGTCAGATCAGTGGACAGTGGCGACCCGGCGCTCAGTTTAATAAAGACTTTCCAGATATCCGTTGTTGGTAAGTTAAAGCTTGCAGTTATGCTTGATTACTTTTGCCTTGAGAATAACTCCTTCGAGGTGTTTGACTAAATCAGTTTCAAAATTAACGGAAGCTTGAGGGTAACGACAAATTGATTTACAGGAGTTCATACGACCTTCTCCTGGAATATAAGCCTACTGAAATACTTATCACGTTACCCCCCTCTCCCCCGGGAAGGTTGATTTACATAAATTACCCACTTGCAAAGAATGCGGGACTCGACAAGCGACTTGGAAAGATCACTGACCTTCAGGTAAATTAAGTTAACGAGGATCAACTGAAGGTATTTTCGAGACGAAACAATAGTCAGTAACAAGGGAAATTCAACTGTGAAGCTCTGCCTTTGTTAAAATGGTGATAAGGGCCAGCTTGAGTGGTGTTGTTTGAAGGACTTCGCAGTCTTTTATCGAAATAGAGAAGTACAAAAGAATGACTTGAGGCTATAGAGGTATTAGGTTGATTAGTGTCTGTTTGAAAATATTGTCACCCTTTGCTCAGTCGACTGTTAATACAAATACTTATTAATAAAGTCCACCTCTGAATTATTTTTGTGTTTTATTCTTTTTCAGATGTCAATGAAAAACCATTTAACATCACTTTGTCAAATGTAGTTATAAACGAAAATTCCCCCCAAGATGCACTGGTAGGAACTGTGTCCGCAGGTGACCCTGACTTCAATCAAACCCTTGTTTACACTCTGATTGACGGAGTAGGAGGAAGATTTAAACTGGATGGAAATAAGCTGAAAGTTGCTTTGTCCAACGATGACTGTCTTAAAATTGGCGGCGACTTCTGTAAATTGAATTACGAGAGACAAAATACTTACAAAGTAAGCGTGCGAGCTACGGATAATGGGAACCCACCTCAAAGCAATGAAGCGTTTCTGTCAATCACATTGATTGACGTCAACGACCGACCACGTAACCTGAAGTTATCCAGTAACATGGTGAAAGAAAACGCCACAATCGGAACAAAAGTTGGTCAGTTTTCCGCTACGGATGAGGATACATCTCAGACTCTTCAGTTTGCTTTAATCGACAGTGATGGCGGGCGGTTTGCTGTTGATTCTTCAGGATATTTGTTGAAAGCTAAAAGAACAGATTACGAGACTAACAAGGTTCACAAAATTGTCGCCCAAGTCAGGGATAGCGGTAATCCGCCTTTACAGGTTAGTGTATAAATATATGGCATGTTGCCGTGCGTCTTCGCTGCTGGGTGAATAGAACACAGATGACGTTGAAACGTGGTTTGACCAAAAAATAAGGAACAATTTATGTTTCTCACTTGGGGCAAAATGATGGCTTAGGGGAGGGGTAGGTGGGCAGTTTCCCAGAAACCTAAATTGATCAAAAAATAAACCTCGTTCCCAGGTTTTCTCTCTCATCCTTCCTCGAGGCAAGCGGGAGAGAGAGAAACCTGGGAACGATGTTGCAAAAAAGTGGGACACAAGTCGCAGGCGATTGCGTCACTGATATTCTTACCACATTTTGACGTCTTCTGTGTTCTGTTACTAAGAAGACGCATGGAAACATAAAATCTATTCGTTTTATACAACGAGCAGAAAAAGAAAAACGACAAACTTGTCTCTTAGGTCTTTACTGTTTTAGGATCTTTTGCCAGTTTAGGCAATTAAAAGTCGCCAACGCTACAGTTCGTATTGGGTTCTTGTTTTCTTCTTTATCCTTCTTGTAAAAAGATCATTCCAATAGTTTTCCAAGGCCGATTTCTTGCTGATAATCGCGTAAGCACTTTCAAATTGCGGCTCTCTCGTCGCGGTGACACACGATCACAACTTTTTTGAAGATTTCTTCCAGTTTAGGCATTTTAAAGTCACAAAGAACTCTTTTTGTTTCGCCTTTCCCGTTTTTCCTACTTTTAAACAGCTCTTGCTAATGTTCACTTGCTTAATCCAGAACAAACTTGCAAACACTTTCAAAACCGCGCGCCATGTTGGACAAAACAAAGAAAACAAGTTTTCCGTGACGTCATCCGTGTGCATGTACTTTAATAGATCATGGGCAATGACCAATCACAGCGCACCTACCATTCACTTCATTGTATAATGTGCAATAGAAATATTATCACCACCTATTTTACCATAATTCCTGTATCTGCGTTTTTCGTGCTGTCCACCCCGCCCCCTCTTGAGTTTGAATGGCATTTTTGGGGTAGCAACGACGGGTTATTTTTAGTTGTCGCCAATTACTGTCTTAAGACACTAAGAGATTGTTTTTAAATAACGCATTTTTTGTACTCACAGATCAACAAGACGTTTATGGTTGTTGTGGAAAACATTAACGAGGCTCCAATAAACATTTCACTGACGTCTGAATCCGGACAACAGTCCTTCCCTGACAATATACCCAAGGTGAATGAAAACTCTAAAACAGGCACAACAGTAGGGACATTTCATGCGTTGGATCATGACGAAGTTCACAGCTTAAAGTTCATTCTAGATGACGATGCAAGCGGCAAATTTACTGTGGGCTCAAGTGTCACCTGCCACAACAACACTTACATCCCAGGCGTTAAAACAAAGTGTACGGCGCCGTTAAAGGTCAGCGGTGTTCTTGACTACGAAACGAGTTCTAGTGAAGATATTTTGGTCCGCGTGACTGATGACAGCGGGTTTTTCCGTGTGCAGCCATTTAAGGTTACGATACTAGATGTTAATGACCGACCGAAGAATATCACTTTGGCAGGTGGAGATACAGCATTTATTGACGAGAACCGTAACTATGGCTTTGTTGGTGAGTTGGCGACCATAGATGAAGATATTAATCAGACACACAGCTACAGTTTGATAAACAATGGAGGTTGGAAATTTATTCTCCCCCAAAACAAGATCTTTTCTTCCTTCCATGCGAACCTGGATTACGAAACAAAGTCAGAGTATTCTATCGCGGTTAGAAGCAGAGATAATGGTTCCCCGAGACTGAGCATCGATAAAACATTCACTATTCAGGTTAGTTGTTCACTAAAGGTACTGATCTAAGAATACTTGCCTGAAAAAATTGCCCCTGGCAAGAAGCAAGAGGAACGCAGATGGTAGTTCACGCCATCTGTCTGAAAAAGCCATCGGAAAGGAAAGATTAGGATGCGTTCTCCTTTTCGTTCTCCTACACTAAACACAATTATTATTAATCTAGGAGACCTATGTAGGATTTCCTCTTTCGACATTTTTGCAATTATTCGTCATAAACGTAACTGGTGTGGCAAAAGACATTGCAGTCTTTCCAGGCGTTAAGAAACGATCACAAAAACGGCGTAGCAACCGTCAGGAGTAAATCAACGCGTCGTTACTTATAATTTTTAACAGAAGCTATAACAAACGCAACAAAAAAATGTCCACTCTCTTTTCAGGTACGTGACGTCAATGAACGACCCACGGACATAATTTTGCTCTCTAGCAGTGTCCAGGAAAATAGCCCCAGAGGAACGCTGGTCAGTAAAATTTCGGTTTCAGACCCTGACAATAATGGTCCTAGAGGAACCTGGCAAAACCATACTTGCAAAGTACTTAATATCGCCAACATACCATTTATCCTCAACGGGACATCAAACTCTCTTCTGATTGCTGGTGATCTGAATTATGAGAAGACAAAAAGCTACAATATTGATCTTCGTTGCCGAGATAAGGGAAAGCCCCCTTTATCCGTCGACAAGACAGTGCGAGTCAATGTTACTGACGTCAATGAGAAGCCGTATGACATCACACTTTCTAATAACGAGGTCGCTGAGAATGCTGGAATTGTGACTGTTGGATTGTTGGATACGACTGACCCGGATAATGAGCAGACGGTGGTGCAGACGTTCAGTTATACCATTGTCAGTCTAGCAGGGAACATTCCTTTTGTCATTGTCAGCAACGCACTAAATAGTTCGAGAAGTTTGGATTACGAGACCAAAACTAGCTGGCTGCTTGAAATCAAATCAACAGATAACAAAGGTAAGCCCATATTAATTTTACAAAAGCATGATTTTATAATAGACTCCACATGCCTTGATCCTGGGCATAGGTTATGTGTAAGGAGCCAGAGGAGATACCTTCGAATGGCCCTTTTGTCGTGAGAGCTCTCCCTTAAAAATCCACGCCTCATACTTGGCCTCTCAAGTCAATTACTCTTTGCGCCTTCGTTCCTTCAGACAATAGGAAATTTAGCCTACCTGTTACCCAGGTAGGCTAAAGGTCCGGTAAATTTTCGGGCCCAAAATCAAACAATGAAATCAAAATGTAGAGAATGAAAGCGCAGGTTCTAGTCAACTAAAACCAGTTCATTTTGTTTTGTTAACTGATGTTTTATCAAGTTATTTGCAAAGCTATTGAAATATATCTCTCTTGAATGTAAAAACCAACTTTCCGGGCCCGTTTATTATTGGTATTTTCGCGATACGGGCCGTTGCGACTGACTGAATAAAGATCACCTTCATGCCCTTTAAGTCAGCCCCTCCGAGTGTACTTTATTTATTTTCTATTTATTGTAGGACTTAGCACGACAAAGAACTTCATAATAATCGTAAGAGACAGAAATGATCCGCCCACGGGCATATCAGTAAGCCGCCCACTGAATGTGTCTGAAAACAGTGTGTCCGGGCAGTACCTTGGTACAGTGGTAACCGCTGATCAAGATGTTGGGCAGACGCACCAGTATCAGATAGTTAACGTGGTTGGACATGCGCACGGCAACCGCAGGTATTACCTTATTGTCGCCATTGATGTCTTTTCCTGTCGAATTGTGCCGCACATACATCCTGCCCTTTTGTGATTCGCTGCTCACTTAGTTCTGAACTACACTTTGCTCAAGGAAAATGTCTTAGGCTTCATGAGAACAACTAAAACCACCTATCCAGGTCGATATCTAAGACGGAACGTTTACACCCTACGCTGTTATGCGAATAAGAAATCGTGGCCACTTTGATTTACTGTAATACATTGTACTCACTATCTGTCTTCTCCTTGGCGAAGTTAATTTTGGAAATTAGAAATCAGCGCAACCTACGGATTAGTTTGTTTTCTGGTAGCAGTTAACTTACTAACCTGTAGTTTGCGCGCGAAATGCATGACTTCAAAGAGTACCTTTAAACTTTGTTCCGCACGACAGTGTGTGTTTGTCGATATTTTTTTCAAAAGAATGATAAAACAATTATTACATTCGTTCTTTGCTGATAACACTTACCTCAAGCTTGATTCAATCCAGATTTATCTCAAAAACGTCATCCAATGATTGTTTGATTTTGCTTACCAATGATTTGTGTGATTAAAGCACGGAAACACTAGGACAGAGGGAAGTTCAAAACTCAGTGGCGGACTGAAGAGAGGAAGATTAAACAGAAGTTCTTCATCAGCTGGGTTCCTGTTTTGAGAATGCTTAAGCCCTACATTAACGTCACGTCGCAATGGCTGCTTTTATATGTCACCACTTTTTGGAGGTTTCCTTTTGTAATCGGTTAATGATAAATATCGATCATGTATATTTTCTCTTTTTTTCCCACGGTAGTACTTATGGTCTTCTTAACCTTTTTGCTGTTGAATCGCCATCTGGAAAAGTCACTCTCCAAAAGTCTGGACTGGATTACGAGCAGTATGCAAAATATACAGTGACCTTGAACAGCACAGACAGCGGTTTTCCTCCTTACTCAGTGACAGGCTTGTTTGTGGTCAGCGTGCATAACATTAATGAAAATCCACAAAATATCTCGCTGAATAACAACCAGGTACAATAGTTTCATTGTGTTAACTCAGTTAGTGCGTGCACTTTGTTTGGCCGGTTTAGCGGGCCGTATTTCACTTATGCTCAAAAGTTTTTTTTGGTTGCAATTTCGTGACAAACGAACATTTTAAAACTGTTCATTTTTTACAAGCAATACGTTTCGGACTATAGAAGACATCACTTTTTACAAACATTGTTTTTGTTATTCAAATTTGCCACGAGTAAAACAAAAAAATATTTTGTTTCAAGAACCAATGCGCTTCTGCTTGGCGTATAGCGTGAGTATCGCTAGAATGGGTATGTTAACTGTTAGATGAATGCGTTTGGCTACTCAAATCAGACAAATCCACGACTTTGAAATCCTCGTGTGGCTTTCTAGTAAGGGATACGGGGACTGAACTGCTAGACCCTGTGCTTTTCAATATCATTAGATCCTGTTTGATTCAAGATAAGCTTAAAACGTTTTAGCTAATTATGTAACAAGGTCTTTCTTAATATTCCAGGTTCTTGAAAATAGTCCTGTTGGTACAGTTATCGGTAACTTCTCAGTATATGACCCTGACAATCTTAATGTGCCACTACAAAAGTTCAGCTGTGTTGTGGAGGATGGTGAACCCTTTAACGTAAGTTTAGTAGTTATTAGGCGGTTAAGGAATCTTAGTATTAGTATATTGTACACACTTAGTGATCTTGGTGTTTCAAGCAATCTCACTGGCTCGCTGTCTCGGATTATGACGTTATATTCACTGTCTAACGCGTAGAACATAAAAACCAAAACAAAATCGCTGGCGTTAATTCAGTGTTTAGCCAAAGTTTTAGAACAAAAATTTTTCAAAACAAGGGATGGCATAGTGTTGAGAGCACTCGCCTCCCACCAATGTGACCCGGGTTCAAATCCCGGCGTCGACGACAAGTGTGGGTAGAGTTTGTTGTTGGTTCTCTCCTTTGTTCCGGCGAGTAGTTTTTTTCCGGTTCTCCCCTCTTCTGAAAAACCAACATTTCCAAATACCTATTCGGCAAGGAAAGGCAGATGAAAAACCACTATGTGAATGTGCTACCTCTTAGAAATCGTTATTTATATATTTATGTACGCTATGGCGAAATGGGGCAATTTCGTATCAATCTCGAAAAAGGTGTGACATGATACGATGAACAAAAAACGTAACAATTATCATGCCAGAACAGGTCCAGCTAAAATTACTAAATTTCATATTTTACTTTGCCACGCGAGAAATAGAAGACAAAGATCGGACGTTGTCAATGCCTTTGTGTAAGAAATAAATTGTTTATTTTTTTAGGTCATTAATCATCTGACTCTGGTGGTATCAGAAAACTCTTTGGATTACGAAACTATCAACACATACACAGTTAACGTAAGAAAACTGCGGCTATAAATAACATTTTACTTATTTTGTCTATGTAACAATGTTACAAATACTTTTTGCCCAAAGGAATTTACTTTTTCAAAGTATAAGGGAAATTAATAACTATACAAAACATATTAGGTAATCGTGAGCTTGACTTTAACTTTAACACAAGTAAAATAACGTAAACTTCTATACATATTCTAATCAATGGACTATTTTTTATATGGGCGACTAAAGTACCATTTACAGGTTGCGTCATTGTCAAAAAGGCGTGGAGAAATCCTTGATTCATTGACTCAAATCCCTGATTACCCCTGAGTCCAAAAATAGTTCAAACCTAAGTTCTCTTTCAGTTCATTTATTACTGTATAGGATGAATCGATGGGGTCTTCATAGTCCTGACACGCTTGAATTTTTTCTCTTAGGTTACGTGTACTGAGCTCTTGTCCAACCCCCTCTCCGTCTCTTCAGTGTTCTTTATCAATGTCCAGGATGTAAACGAGGCTCCCTACAATCTGACCTTCTCGTCTCAGTCTGTGAGCGAGGACCAAGAAACTGGTTACTTCCTGGGCATGCTCAGTGTTCTCGACCCTGATTTACCGGTAGGCAACTGATGTACACGGGGTTTCTTACTGATCCGCATTCGTCCGTAACTTTGGGTAGAAGCTCAATGGTACCCGAAGCATCTGGACTAGCAATTAGGTTCCACCTCTGTTGAGAGTATCCGAAGTTTTTTTGTTACAAGCCTCCTGGGTCACAGAATCAGTTGATAAACATTTTTCGCAATTGTGATTTACAAATAAGATTATAAAAACAAAAGCTGCCAAAAGAGTTTCCAAGTTGATCTTCTTCTTTGAACGCCTTTCATCTAATATGGTCAGGAAAGATTTGACTTGGAGTGGAGATGCACGATATGCAAGGCTGAGGCGCGAGCTTCGCGCCCTTCTCTTGTAAGGGGTGTAAAAAATGGCGACTATTTCACACCTTACGTCTTTACCAGGGTTTGCTGCATTTGCAGCCGATTTTTCTTCAGAATAGCCCATTTTACAGTTACAGGTAGAAACGAGGCTGGAGCTGACCTTGTATTGATACAACCCTTCCTGCTTTATTATGTAAATCATGTTCTTCTTATGCTATAAAGTAATATATTTTAAGCATAATTTCTATTAGAAAAGAAAAGAGGTTTGTGTCAAACGAAGGTCAACACCAGCCTCACGTTTATCCAAACGCTAGGACGCTAAAAATCGCCTATTTTCTTCTTTGTTAACCTCCATTTCAATTCTGACGTCCCCCCTCCCTCAGGAAAAATCGGGAGAGGAGACGTTTGTGAATAGCCGTCGTTAATCGTGTTCCCGTATACATTTGCATACATTATTTCTTGTTCTTTCTCTGACAGTTGAAAAGGCACATGTAGGTCGAATTTAAAATAGCTCTGGCGTCTGTGAACAGGCTAGCCGAACATCTTCACGCAACGTCCACCCAAAAATCCGGATATAAGATCTCTGATTACAGTCAAGCCAGGTCAAGCGTGCCTCCCAAGATCCCATTAATGTATTTATTATCCGAAAGTTGAACCGTTGGTAGTTGTAGATTTCAGATTCATCTCTGCGTGCATTCTTGCATGCGTAATGAGCCGTGAATTCACACGCGATTCAGTTACGAAATT